GAGGAGGAGGAGGAGGAGGAGGAGGAGGAGGAGGAGGACATCCAAGATGTTTTTCCCATCTCTCAAAGGGCAAGACTTCATCTGGATAAGCCTTCCATACTGATTGGGGGTGTGTGTGTTGAAAAATAGGGGGGACTGATAGCATCACAGTTACTAGGAAGTCTCCATCATATCCACCCCCAAGTTACAAAAAAGATTCTGACGCCTTAGAGGGAAGAGAGTTCAAAAGAGTGGAACCGCCTGAAGGATAAAGGAGGAGGCAGCCATCAACAGTGTAAAAAGAGTAACGCCCCATATAAGCCCTTCCAGGCACGATTTCACCTTCCATAGGTCCCAATCCACAAGCCAAACAATGGGGGGGATTATGGGAGAAGGACTCAAAGTCAAACAAATTGGGGGGCGGGGGAGTGCAGCCCATTAACCATTTATTGGATTGCATTCAAACTTTTAACGGGCAAAAGCAAAGGCTTTTTTGGCATTCCAAAACCATATCCTGAGCTTGAGCTCCAACACTGAGACCAAGCGATGTGGAGGGAACAAGGGGGAAAGAGATTCCAGAAATTGTCAAGAAAGGTTCTATTGCCCAAGCATCAGAAATCATCACATCATGGCGGCAGCCATGAAATTTGAAATTTTACATTGTAAATTGCACAAATAGGATAAATTAGATAAAATAGATGTGCTTGTGTCATTTGTGACATCCTTTTCCCTCTCCCGTCCTTGGCAAAGGCTCACCTTCAGCATCCTGCTCTCTAAAAGATTGAATAATTCAGCCAAAGATGCTGTGGCATTCACGCTGCATGCTAAGCTAGAAACACCGCTCTCTTAGTTAAAACCAAACTGAGTTAGGGTTTCACATGATGCGTGAACCCTAAATGGGCTTTACGCAAAAAACCAACCGTGACATTTTGGATCCACCTTACAGGTAAATGCTCTACAAACCGCAGTTGGACAAAACTGAACAGAACCAGAACAACCAAAAATAAACTGAATCAAATTAAAGAGTAAATCAAGAGTAAGTTAGAATAATTCCTTTAGTAAGTCTCCCTTCTGCCAGATTAAAAATCATAATTAGGCGACTTCATTCCTCTGCTCAAAACAGAATCCTTTATGCCACCTGGCTTGAAATTTTGGGCTTGGAAAACCTAGAACTATGCCGCCTACGGTCTGACCTAAATGTAGTACACAAAATTATCTGCTACAACGTCCTACCTGTCGATTTCTTCAGCTTCAACCACAACACACGAGCACACAATAGATACAAACTCAAGGTAAACCACTCCAAACTCGATTGCAGAAAATACGACTTCAGCAACAGAGTGGTCAATGCCTAGAATGCTCTACCTGACTCTGTTCTTACATCCTCAAACCCCCATAACTTTAACCTTGGACTATCTACTGTCGACCTCACCCCATTCCTAAGAGGTCTGTAAGGGGCATGCTTAAACACACCAGTGTTCCTACCATCCCTGTCCTACTATCTCCATTTATTCGTACCCATATTCTGTGTTCATATTTATGTTTATACTTATATCTGTTATCTTATGCATGTTTGACAAACTTAATAAATGGAATGAAACTTCTAGAAGGACCCAAGGTTGTTCCAGGGCCCTAATTTGTACATATAGTCTATTTCTCAACCTCAACAACTTCTAGATGTATGAGCCTCAACAGCCAGAACTATGTTAAAGTGCAGACATCTTGAAGTTGTTGGGGCTGAGACTAGATCCAACCTCCACTGTTTTTAAGTTTCCAGAACGATATCTGCTCTTTTCCAAAGGTTTTGCAAACCACCCACCTCTCCCACAAATGCAGAACGGAGACTGAGAAAGTTGCATACTAATGCACCCTAAATACTAAATGCACCCTAAATCAGAGGTCTTCAAACTTGGCAACTTTAAGACTTGTGGACTTCAACTCCTAAGACGTCAAGTCTTAAAGTTGCCAAGTTTGGGGACCCCTGCCCTAAATTAATATGCCAGGACTATGGCATTCAAAAACACAATTCATGCTAGTTTCATAGGGCATGTTTCCACCTGACCAGAAATGAAAACTCTTGGCTTTTGAAACCCACAATTTATCTCTCCTTTACTGCAGGTAGAAAAACATTTAGTACAAGCAGATGAACTATCAGAATAACAGAGTTGGAAGGGACCTTGGAGGTCTTCTGGTCCAACCCCCTGCTCAAGCAGGAGATCTTATACCATTTTAGACAAATGGTTGCCTAGTCCCTTCTTAAAAGCTTCCAGTATTGGAGCAGCCACAACTTCTGAAGGCAAGTTGTTTGTCTGGTTGGTTGTTCTAGGTCGCTTCTCTCCTTAGTTAGTTTCCATCCATTGCTTCTTGTCCTGCCTTCTGGTGCTGTGGAGAATAGGTTGATACCCCCCCTTCTTTCTGGCAGCCCCTGAAATACTGGAAGATTGCTAGCATGTTACCCCTAGTCCTTCTTTTCTCTAGACTAGACATACCCAATTCCTGCAGCCGTTCTTCCTGTTTTAGCCTTCAGCTTATCAGGAAGAGAAGCCAAATGAGGTCTTCTATTGGACAGCCAGGGCAAGAATGTTAGATGGAAGGAAGGAGAGCTACAAGAAACAATAAACAGTAACGGAGATGGAAGGGACCTTGGAGGCCATCTAGTCCAACCCCCTGCTCACTGAGGAGATTTGTACTAGAGATTCGAACTGCCGAACTGCCAACCTTTCTGATCGACAAGCAAGCCATCTGTGGTGCAAACAGGCTTTTAGTTCAGAGCATATATCAGCACCCACCCACCAATTCACCCTCAAAGGCCTAGAGCAGGGGTGTCAAACTGGATTTCTTCAAGGGCCGGATCAGCACTGCAGTTTTCCTCCGTGGACCGGGGGAGGGGAGCGGGGGGAGGGGGAAGGGAGCCAGGATGTATGTCTCCTGCAGCACTTTGCCATCCAAAGTGGAGCAGGTAATGCCATATAGCTTTGCTCCACATTAGTTCCCTTTCCAGGGTCCTCAGAACGTGTGGGGCCTTCTTGGTTTCTACTGGATGCCAATAGGCATCATCATAGATTGGGATGAACCTTCAGAATCCACTCCACAAGCCCCACCCAAGGAAGCACTTCCATACCAATCAATCAATCAATCAATCAATCAATCAGAATAGAGCTAGAAGAGACCTGGCAAGTCCCTTCAGACAAGTCCAGTCTCTTTTTAAAAACTTCCAGTGATGAAGCACCCACAACATCTGAAGGCAAGCTGTTCCACTGGTTAATTATCCTCACTGTTACAAAGTTTCTCCTTAATTCTAGGTTGCTTCTTTCCTTCATTAGTTTCCTTCCATCGCCTTGCCTTCCATCGCCTTGCCTTGTGGTGCTTTGGAAAACAAGTTGACCCCCTCTTCTTTGTAGCAGCCCTTCAAATACTGGAGTACTGCTATCAGGTCACCCCCTAGTCCTTCTTTTCTCTAGACTGGCCAGATCCAATTCTTGCAATTGTTCTTCATATGTTTTTGTCTCTTAAGGCCCTTAATCATCTTAATTGCTCTTCTTTGCACTTTATCCAAAGTCTCAACCTCTTTTGTTGAATGTGGTGACCAAAGATGGATGCAGTATTCCAGCCTTATTAAAGTTTTATAAAGAGGTACTAATACTTCACATGATTTTGATTCTATGCCTCTGTTTATACAACCGAGAATTGTATTCACTTTTTTGGCTGCTGCCCCACACCGCTGGCTCC